GTACAAAAGAATATTATAATTTTACGTTTCTCGTTAAATTTTCTCATCTTTTTGATTTCGATGAAAAATTTATAAAAAAAATCGAAAGAAAAGTATTTTTCATATTATCCAAAATTTGCAATCATCTGAAATATGAACGAATTCGTGACGAAACAATTGAGCGATGCATGCAGGAACAGAAATTCATTTTACTAAATTTGAACAAAAGTTTACTCTGGCGACAACCGTAGTTTGTTTCCGCTTCGAATTGAACGAACTTTTGCAACAACTGAAAATGTTTTTGTCTCTAAAAAATACCACCACGTGTATACAAATTATTACATACACGCGATAAATTAATTTATTTTTACGCATTATGATTTAATAATAATATAAAATGATAAAGATTACGTTTCGTTACGTTTCCACTTCTCTGGTGTTTTAAATTTTAAATTGGTTATTGATTCGATTGAATACTTTCAATTTTTAGCAACGATTTTCGGTTTTATTAAATACATTTGACAACGCGATAACAAAAGGGGTATAATGGGAAGGAATATTTTATGGATTCGTTATATGAATAGAATATTTGAATTACCTCGATACGATTCACTGGTTGTATTTATTGATTAAAATCCATAAACTGCCGTTGCTTTTGACGAATCGTCATTGGAAACGCGATCAGATAGAAAAATTTATTGGCCATTTATTTACATGGTTACGTGTCAGGAATATTTGCTATACGGAATTGACGCAATTTTTAATGGCAAACGCTGGTTAACGCTCAACCCGGATTGTTTGCTCTGTCGCTTTATTTATGACGCGTCGTTGCCGATGAAAGAGATAAACAAAAATGAAATTTGCCGTTGATGGTTTATTATAATGGATCGTACAATACACGTGAAATACAACGATTTCGAGATGTAATAATTTCATCCCTCTCAATAATTTTAATTCCTTCTCCTCGTGATAATTCTCTTCTCCTTTAAATTCCTGTCTAAGTATTTATCCAAGCAATAATTTAAAAGATGGCGAAAAAACCATTCTTTTTAATTATAACAATTAATTCGTTATCTTTTACAATTAAAATTTATTTTTCCAGAAATCTTTCTTCCCTACTTCGAACATTTCGCTCGTTCATTTCCTCGTATCATCTCATCGTATAAATTCAATTCGATCAAATTTTAATCAACTCGAAAACCACCACCGACCAACCAACCAACCAACCAACCAACCGGAACGGATCGAAGTACATTAATCACTCGGTTCTTTGTGCGCGTAAAACATGTCTTTCAATGCCAGTTGATTTCTCTTGGCATAATCAGCTTCCCTACCACCGGAGCTAATGGCCTCGCGGAATTCCCGATTTTTCGACTTCTCTTTGAGAGCCTTCGACTCGAAGCCTCCCCCCCTCGATCCACAGGGAATGAGGTAACGTGGAAACCGCACAACTGATGGACGTGATATACACGTATCAGCGTGTGTGCGGTTAGCGGTTCTGACGTTTAGGCTAATATACGTTTGGTACGAGCAGGTACCGCAGCTCCCTTCACGTACAACCGTTACTCCAATGAAACACGAGATGATTAACAAAAGAGTTTTTCGATGGAGCACAGCGGAATTGGAAATATTTAGTTGTTCGAGCGAAGGTGAAAGATCGAAGAATAGTTACCAGATTGGCTTCGATTTCTGATAATTTGAAACGTGCGATGAAAGTTTGTTTTCGGAATCATCGTTCGTATCTTTGCTCGTGAGTGTCAATATTGCGTTAAGAATATTTCAACAATTATAAAATAAAAAATTAACATCAGCAAAATAAATTTAATTTTAGTTTTGTAAAAATATAAATTAATTATTGCATTTAATATTGTAATGGATTATTAGATGTATAAAAAAATGTAAAAATCGAGAAATTATTGATCGTTATATTCGAAAAATGGTTTTAGAATAATCGGCAAGACACGTATGTTTCCGTAAATGTTCGCGTCCTATAAATAAGAGACAGGTCGCGGCGGAACGATCATTTCTTATCGAACTTTGTCGACGAGCGGATCGACATTACAACGTTTCCTTCAAATTTTTCGAACCTTGCACCTTAATTTGTATTTGTAGAAAATTACTTGCCAAACATCACTGACAACCCAAACTTCCAAATCGTTCATTTTTTTTTATCCAACATCATCCTCAACGAAGCGAATTCCAATCACAGTTTAGCACAGTTGGCTCGAATTCGACGCGACACGAAAAATCGTGAGTGGCCACGGAATTAACGTAACACGAAAATAATTTTCCCTTTTATCCCAGTGAGGGGATCGAATATATTCCAAACACGATCGCGTGCAAAATCTACCATAAGTTATCCAGTTTCGTGTTATCCAGCATTCCTTTCCAAGCGAACATGAGAAATATTTGACAACAGAAGGTATTCTTTTCACTCTTGAAAGTCGACGACCCGTAATGATCTTCACGGCTTTCCATAAAATCACATGGATCGCACTGATGAACTAATTGAAACGAACGCAGTCTCTTTTTACTGTGTTTCGTTACCTTTGAGAAATTAAATTGGAAGGAGAGTGGAAGATGTGACAAGCTCTTTTTAGTTCTTGGATTTCTTATTTTTGTTGAGTAAAGATTCAGTTGGTATTAGTATTAGTAAGTATCTTACTAACGAAAATAACGAATATATAACTCGTTCAAAAATGAAATTACATTGGAAAAATTAATGGAAAAAGGCATATTTTACCGAAACGCGTTCGATCTCGAAATGAAAAGAATCAGCATGCTCGACTCGACTATTTCCATCCCCTTCTGTTCTCCGCCATGTCAAGGGATCGAGGGAACTCGACTTGGCGGCAACTTTTTAAGTGAAATTTCCCCGATTTTCACGCGCCCTCGTCTGGAAATCAGGATGGGCTTTACCATAATAACATTGAAGGAGATCCTTCTTCGTTCTGACACTTTCGAGGAATTAATGTCGTTAAGTTCGCGTTACAAGAGTGGCAAATGAAGTTGCCTTTTTTGAGATTGAAAATTTTTTATTCCATCTGACGAACGACTTGAATATTCGCTCGTCTCTCCTGTCCTGTGAAATTTAAAGGGATGCCTTGTTGATGAGTCTTTTTCTTTAGTTGGAATGTAATTCTTGCATCTATCTGGCTTCGTTAATATCATTTTTCTTTCTCTCTTTTTTTTTTATGAGAATTTATGTGATAAAATATCGTTGAATGGTTGAAATAATAATCTTAAAGGTTTAGAGTTTAGTTAAATTCTGGTAATTATTGTTTTTCTAATTCAGTAGCATACAATGATCAGAGAAGAGGTCTGACTTATTATTTGTATGACTACTGCGAAATATTTAATCTCGAATACGAAATGAAATTTCTTGTCTGATCATTGTCTCACCTATTCTACTGCGTGAATAATTTCACATATATGATATATATCTCGGTAAAGTGGTACTAATTTGCACAAATTGTTTTTGTATATATTTTATTATTCTTTTTTTTTGTACTTTTATAACACGTTAAATTAAAATAATTCATTAGTTATTTCATATTCACACAAATTTCATATTTCATACCATGGATCTATTCGAAAAATAATTCGTATTAGTGTTGAGGAGGCTTTAAAGCATTTCCTTGATCAGATATTTTAAAATTTGAATTCCAATTTGATGCTACTTTGACACGCGGGAGCAAATCATTAAAAATATCATTAAAAATTCATGGTCTTTCCATTTACTTCTTTCGTCGACCACATGGAAAATTTCAACAAGTTGTCGCCGATTTTATCAGGAAAAATACACGGATTCGTTCGAGACGCGTACTTTGATTTATTTTTAATGAATATTTAATTTGATACAATTCGACAAATTAAATCTATCTGTTACATCGAATCCCAACTTATTTAATAAAAGCTTAAAAGCTTTTCATAATCGTTTATATATTCAATTTTGCATTTGCAAAAAAACTTTTTAACATTAATTTTAATACCAATGAATATTTTGATACTTTGGAAATTAAATAAATTTAATTACAAGTGATAGGAATAAATGATAATTTAAGTTAGGTTTTCCTTATTATTTTTTTTTTTCTTTTCATCAAGCTAGGATTCATAGAGTTTGATAAATTCTTAATTCTTACAAAAATTTACAATGAAACGACAATTGTAAAAACTGTCGCAAAACAAATAAATTAAAATTATTATTTCTCAATATTTGCCTTTACTATTTGCATACAAAATTTTCTAAAATCCTGGAAATCGTTCGTGGAATATCAATTATCAAAAAATTTCGCAAGAAAATCCTTAAAGAAAAAAAAAAGAAATTATAACGAACGAGTTTTGGTCGATCGATAGGAGCGCCAATGAGATTGCGGCGAAGGAAAACGATAAACAGAAACTTGACAAGCGAAGAGGCGCACAGATGCGGGTAACGATGCCGGAAATGGAGGAGGTTGATTGTTTACGGATCTTATTATCCACATTAGCTTTATTAGCCGATACGATACGAGTCGGAAGCGTCTTAGAATCTTGGCCTACGGGGACCAAGTTACGTGTATACACAACTCCTGCCCGTTTATTCTGCCAACATAGTGGTTCCTAATCGCATTATCGTATTTTGCCCTCTATCGTTTCGCGGATATCTCTTCCCCGTAATCCATGTTTTCCGATCGACGATCGGGATTAAGATATTAACGTTGCTGAATTCCGATTTATGGTTATGACCGGAATGGACAGGAGTCTTTGTTAATATCGAAAAATCCGCGATTCGTTTCATTCTTTCGATCTCCTTTTATTGTCAATTTTATTGTTACACATCGAAATATTATTTATTGCGTATATATTATAGTAATAATCGTAAGGTTTCAAAATATTTGGAAAATTGGCTAGATATTGCAAGATAATGATTGAATTTCGATTATAGTATTTAAATGATCGATATATTTAAGCATAGTAAAGTGAAAGTTAAATCGTGACGTTACTTTGACACAACTTTTCTACAGGATATTCCTTTGTTACAGGTGTAAAGAGCCAGGAAGGTACCTGACAGATCTTCCTCCAACAGCGGTGATAATTTGCTTCCATAACGAAGCCTGGTCGGTATTGCTGAGGACGGTCCATTCCGTGCTGGACAGGTCACCGGACCATCTTATACAAGAGATCATCCTGGTCGATGATTTCTCCGACATGCGTAAGTGAACGCTCCACTCGTTCTCCAATTTCTTCTTCTCTTTTCTTCTTCACTTTTTCTACCCCAAAAAATTCTTTTCCTTGCTCGACTCTCCTCATTAGAATATACGTCCAAAGATACTTCACTTTCTAAATTGTTAAACAAGATTGTTAAACACGATCCCCAAAGAATCGAATCCCCCGGCCGAGAGAAATTTTTCTAAAGCGGAAGAAAAGAAGAAGGAGGTCTGATCTTAGACCACTCGATACGTGCCTCCATTCAACCCCCGCCGGTGATTCGTTATCGCGGTCAACGTTCCACGATCCTTCGCGACGGATCGATTAATCGCGATCCATCCAGCCATGGAACCCGTGACGACGATCAACAGCGGGGGGAGGAGAGGTCAGCCTGGGTTGAATGGAGGAGGAGAAAAGCTGGCGTCGACGTGTTGCGCGCGTACTCGGAAAATTCCCGACAGCTTGATGCATGCCAACGATCCCGAGACGTTGATATCTTTCCGTCCTCGTCGAGGGGAAGGGAGTGGAGGGAGGGGGAAAAAAATTTGCCTGCGTCTGACGCGAGGTTTCCGAGGAGAGAACTTTGACGGAAGATCGATTGTCTCCTTCCTTGTCGTGTCGCGAGCTTATTACCCCCGGCGGAAGTACGGTTTGACAGGATGAATCCCTGATTTTTATTGTGTTGGCGAGAGAAGGAAAGAGAGAGAGAGAGAGAGAGTTATGGATCGACAAATATAATGGATTTTTAATGGGCGTAAAATATTTAGGGTAATGCATGACACGCGTGTCGTATCTGGATCTGGTGTGTATATTTCGACAGGTATAATAGATAAGATATAAATTGGACGGTTGAATATTTCACAAGTTTGTTTTGAGGTTATGTTGAGGGATCATTGTTTCGATATCGATAAGTTGGACGCTTGAGAGGATTGTCTTTCTTATTGACATGGGTTCTTTCAGACTGGATTATTTTGTTAATATTAATGAGATGGCGTGTTCTTTAAAAAAAACTTTGGAAATTGGTATTGCAGAGAGGATGGATAAATAAAATTAAATATATTTCGATATATTTATTACATATGTGTATTTATTACATACGCAATAATAGAGAATTGTACGGAATTTACATAAGTTAGATAGATTGGATGCTTGAAATGGATTGCGATTGAAAATGTTTCAACGATTCTACGAGATAATAAGATAAGAAGATTTGATTGATAATTATTGTTGGAGGGAATGATGGCGAAGTTTCGTTGATGGAGTAAGTATATAAGTTTGTTAAGGAGTTATCGACGAAAGAATTGTATAACGCATTTTCGTATAGAGATGAAATTCATGATGCAACTAACTTCAAGTTAGGGTATAAGTTAGTTAGAAGTCTGTCAATTCTCGATAGCTGAGAGAAAAATATATCTTTACATTTCCTTTTTAGACGTTTTAATAAATTTTAACAAAATTAACATTAATATTTCCCTTCTTCGAAAGGAAAGATTTATTCTTAAACGAAAAGGAAAATCAGAAATTTGCAAATATATTTTCTTCTAATAAACAAATCTTTGATCTTCAAAAAAAAAAAAATAACAAAATTCGTTCCATTTTGTAGTTCGTTTAATAGTTGGTTGAAAGAGATAACCAGAAAACAAAGAGCAGTTTATCGCCAAAGGTGTTCGAATTAACGTGTCGCCGGATGGAAGGGACAGATAGCTAACCGTAGTCACGTGTAACAAAGAGGGGAGGGGGAGGGGGAGAGAGAGAGAGAGAGAGAGGTAGGAAGAAAATAAAAATCGGTGGTGGAAAAAGCCGGCGAGATTAAGCCCGCTTGACAGCAGGTTAGCGAAGGCGCAACGTGTTGTAAACGATATAGAAACCAGAGCGAGCAAGCTCGTGCAATCCACCTTAAAAGCTCGAGATAAGCTTCCGAGGCAACCGGAAGTCGAGCTCATAAACATAGTTAGCTCGTGCACCGTGGATAGCAGATGGTGTGCCTTGTTTCAAAACAAACTGATTGTTTTATCATGAGACAGAGACAGGGAACAATGAGCATCTCTCTTTATTTTCGCGTTCTTTCTTCTTTCGTTTTTCCATTCTTTTTCCATCTGTCAGGTAGAACAGAAGATGGAAGTAATAATAAAGTGGTTGTAATAACAAAGATTTGTAATAAAGATTTAATTAATAAGTAATAAGGGAAACGTCCTCTCTTTGTAATTACGAGATTATTACAACGTAAAGGAAGGAAAATTTAATTTGATATTTCTGCAGATTTTGATGAGGGACTAAATAAATTTGTAACGTGATGAAGATATTGTGACTATAGATTATCGCAGGAAGGAAAAGTTAAAAAAGATTATTGTATATAAAATTGTGAAAAATTAACATTTTTGTATCAAAAAATTTTTAAATTTTTAAAGGATTTATTAAGAATAAAAAATACAAGAGTATTTTTATTCCTTGGTTTTCCAAACAGATTTTCAGCTATTTAATTTCCATTTGTGAAATACGAATCGCGGGTTCGATTTCAAACGAAATGCACGATTCTGTTTCAAATTTCTCTATTTTTGTTATATAAATTTTAGCATAAAAAGGGATTGTCGATAATTATTTAAATGTAATTTGAAACGCTTGAAAACAATTTTGAGATATTAAAGATATTGAAAATTCGTTTTAAATAAACTCGATCATTACAATTCGTGCTGAAATGATCCTTGAAATCCTTGTATATTATCTGCAGTTAAACTAACCGAATAAGTGAAAGCTTAGAGAGAACGTTCCCTCGCAGAGGTATTTTAACGTAAAGTAAATCACGAATGTCTACTAATTGCTATCCCCAATGGAACACTTCGACTATAACTCATCTGATATCGTAAATCTAAATTTTATGTACAATTACGTTGGATATAAAGTTATATCGCGTACCGTTTCGAGTTATACCCTCTAAAATTAGTCGATAAAATATTAAAATTGTAAAAATATTGTAATAATAATTTTTAAAACTCGTCTTTTTTCTTTTCCAATTCAACAAATTTGTAATATAAGAGACGAAATAAAATTAGATATATATCTCAGATTTTATACTTTAAATAATTTCAATACGATAGGAAATATTTAATATGCAAGGAATAATTTTAGAAGCCAAAACAAATACAAAAGTTGATATACAAAAATATCGATTGAAATTTATTTATTAAGTTATAAGCAATTGAAATTTGCATTAGACGAAGCAAAACACAGATAGAAGGAGACAGCTTTATCCGTGTTACATCATTCCGCCGCAGCGTGGCGCTCCATGTCATAGCGAAAATTTCAATTGCTCGTAATAAATGAACCTCGATCGACATTTACCAACTTTTACGTTCACTGTGACCTCTCAGAATCGATCCTTCGAATATTAAATCCACGATTAACTTATTATTAATTATTAATTTACAACAATCGAATTTAATTTAAAATTTCCAATCGAATCATTGTTCGCTGATCGAATTCAAAATTCCAACAGCGCATCTCCAGCGCCAATTGGAGGACTACATGATGAACTACCCGAAAGTGCAGATCATCAGGGCGCAAAAACGAGAAGGTCTTATCAGAGCTCGTTTACTGGGCGCTGCAGCCGCGAAGGCCCCTGTCCTCACATATTTGGACAGCCATTGCGAGTGCACCGAGGGCTGGCTCGAGCCCCTTCTCGATCGGATCGCTCGTAATCCAACGACAGTCGTTTGCCCCGTGATCGATGTGATCGACGATACAACGCTGGAATATCATTGGAGAGATTCCGGCGGTGTGAACGTGGGTGGATTCGATTGGAATCTGCAGGTAAGCGAAATTCCTTTCGACGGTTATTTCGTTGCCGAGCGATGTCAATTGCAGGTCGCGAATGATTTCATCGCGAGTAAAATGTGGATAATTATTGCTGGAATTTGAACGATTGCGCTTTGAAGAGATTTGTCGGCTCCTGATTTGGGCAGAATTATTCTGAAACAACATTTCGTTGTAAAAATATGTAGAATATAATTGGATGAAATCATGTACAAGCTATCGATGGATAGATTTCAAATTTTTAGAAAGAATTCTAAATATATAATTTTTAAGTAATTCTTAATGTGCGTATTGGAAGAATATATTATAAGATGCACGCGGTATTATAAAATGATATAAGGAAGAAACAATTGAAAGAAATATACTTAACATGCTATACATTAAGTGAAACTGGAAATGGCGAGTTTTAAGTGGTCATAGTACGCGTATGGTCAGCCATGTATAATACATTTCTTTTCTTTGCATGTGTTTCAAAGATAATTTTTTCATTTTATTTTAATCGATCATAATGAAAAGTATTTTGTGTGTCAAGTGTGTTACGATAAAATTTAAATATTACAGAAGGAAAAATTATATAAGATAAATTAAACTTTTTCTTTTAGAAAGGAAAAAACAAAAAATTGTTATAATTGAAATTTGAAAAAATTCATATATAAATTCAATTCATTCACGATTCGATGAAATCTACAAATAAATTTGTGAATAGTACGATAAAAGATCAAACGAATTTTTTTTAACAATTTGATCTCTCGTTTAAAATTAGCCACGTTTCTCAAAATATCTAAAATTTCTCTCTTCATTGGTTTGCCCGATTTCCGATATTCCTTCTTGATTTCTGTATCAGTTCAATTGGCACGCGGTTCCCGAGAGGGAGAAGAAGAGGCACAAGAATCCAGCGGAGCCTGTGTGGTCACCCACGATGGCTGGAGGCCTTTTCTCGATAGATCGAGCTTTCTTTGAACGTCTCGGCACGTACGACAGCGGGTTTGATATTTGGGGTGGCGAAAATCTCGAGCTCTCCTTCAAAACGTGGATGTGCGGAGGTACGTGTAAAAGATTTGTCCTACAATTTATCCTAGAAACTATATCGAACCAACAATAAATTCTACCATCTAACGTTCTCAAACTCGAAACAGAAAGAACAAAAGACAAATTTTTGAAACGCTTCCAGACCGACCTAACCTATATTCTCCTCTCTCCCTCGAATCTCTCTTACCCGATAATTAACAAAAAATCCTTATCTAATCCACCCAATCCACCCCATCCCTGTCAAAGCCCAATCTCTCCACGATCTCTCGAAATCCTTTTTCCTCCTCTCGTCCTAATTTTTCCACCAATTCCACGCGAAGAAAATCCTTTGGGAAGAAACTTAATTCCTCGGCGTTGCAACCCCCTCTTTGCAACGAATAAACGCAATCTCTCTCACTCCTTTCCATCAGCCGTGGTTGAACGCCGGTTGTGTTTCTTCCAGGCACCCTGGAAATCGTGCCCTGCTCGCACGTGGGACACATCTTCCGGAAACGGTCGCCGTACAAGTGGCGCAGCGGCGTGAACGTGCTCAAGAGGAACAGCATAAGGTTGAGCGAGGTGTGGCTGGACGAGTATGCCAAGTACTACTACCAGAGGATAGGTCACGACAAGGTGAGCCATCCAGACTTCGCCCTTTCGACCTTTCATACATCCTATCTCAATCACGCTGTTGTTCCCCCAGGACTGATTAGGGGCGCGGCGTGTCTCGACAAGTTTGCGTCGAGTATGAAAATAGCAAGGAAGAGGGACAAGGGATAGGATATTTAAGGGGGCGTATAAATTTTTTTTGACACGTAGATGGCTTTTGAAAAATGAACTGTTTTATAATTATTATTTATATTATTAAAAAAAGAAAGAAGAAAAGGAGATCGGTAGTTTGATCTAAAATAGAATAGAATCTTTTTTTATTGTTTAAATAAATTCGAAAGGTTAAAATTGCTCTCACTATAGGATAAAGTTTGTAACTTTATAAGAATAGAATACATTTGAAAAAAAAAAATTATAAGAAAGGTTACCTTGATATTATATCTGTATATCAAGATATAATTTTCAACTTGCGCGCATATAGAGATTATAAACTGTTTTGAATAGCCTTTGGGAAACGTGTCTTTCCATTTGCGTGTGATTTTATTGGCCTCATCGGGACACACGTTGACCGAAATAGACGCTATAAGGGACGACGATAATCAGAAAGAGCCAGATAGACCGAGGATTCGTCGTAAAAGCTAGCCTATAAACGCGTGAAGCACTCTTAAAGATCACTCTTGAAAGATACTTCCTTCATTCTCTATCCTTTATCCTGGCACCTTGTCCCCTCGAAAGGAGATCGAGTGTGTCGAAGGATGAGATAAAAATTATTCAACGAGGATTAATTTTTTTCGTTCAAATTTTGTTCATTCTGCAAACGTTAATCTATCGAATTATCTTTGAAAAATGATTTTGAACGTTTTTTTATTTTATTTTGAAAAAGAATGATTGTTGAATAATTATAACTCGTATAAATCATAGAATTATAATAATTATAAATAATTATTGTAAAAGAAGGTGAAAGCAATAAATAATGAAAGTTATTGCAAATCGAGATAAAATTAAAAGTAGTTTATTACTTGATATAAATGTGAGTACAGTATGACACATATTACATTATGAAATACAAGAATTTAATTTAAAGATTAATTTGAAAGTTGTTAAACTCATTTACAGAAGATGTGTTAATGATATTCGTAATGAAAAAGCGAGACTTTATTGGTTATGAACCGACATGTATTCAAAATTTTGAAGAGATTTTTTTATTTTAGAACGCAATTCAACAATTTACTCGAGCGTTGCTGAAAATTGTTTTACATTTTATCGAAAACGTTTTATCAGTCGAGCACCGTTTTGACACAATACGTGCTTGAATTTTCCATTTTCTATACTCCTCGACACGTTGCAGAGTGCATAGAAGTACGAATGTGAAATAAAAATAAAAAAGAACGATAAGATTTTTGGAAAGCAACTATAAAATATTGGCTTAAAAAAATTTCATGTTTATAGGATATTATTTTCTATAGGATATTAAATTTTAAGTAGAACAAGTCTACCATTTCCGACATAATCTCTTATACTCCTTTAAAGTTCAGCGCAAATTAATTTCAAATACAAAATGAATTTAAAATTACCATTCTATATATACATATATGTAATACACTATAAATATTGCAACGAAAGCAATATTATTTTAATAAATAAACAAGCAAATATTAAATAACATGATAAACACATATAATCACACATTTTCATTTCATTCAAAATTAATTTTCTCAAAAGCCCTACGCACGTTTGTACACAGATTTAACTTAATTTATTTACGAAATCTCATAATCGGACAATTTAATAACACCAGTTATCCAATTTAACTTTAAACCGTGTCGCGCGCAAAAATAATATTCATTTGGATTCTTTTATCTTTACTTTAAATTTATCATTCAAATTACCAAACAAAAATTACCGAATACACTTTCAATATTTTCTATTTTTGGATAGTAGAAGGGAAAGCTTCTTGCCCAAAATCCAAACAGGCTCCACGAGCCATGGTCCATGAATCCCACCCTCGCGCGAGTATTGCCATTATTCCGCTCTAGGAGGCTTTAAACTCCGGCCCATAAAAGATTCCCTTGCATTTCTCCTCTTTATTTCCTCCACGCTCTTACCTCGTCCCTCCATCCCCCATCCTTTTTACGATTATACCCCTCATCCCCCGCCACCCTTTAAATCCCTGCCTCCAGGAAACGATCCCTTTCCACCCGGTTGCGCAGGTCCAGCTTCCTTCCTTCGCTCGTCAGGCAAAATTTCCGGGCTTATGATTCGCAATTTTCGCAGGGCAAATACGGGGACGTATCGGAGAGGAAGGCGCTGAGGAAGAGGCTCGGCTGCAAGTCGTTCAAGTGGTACCTGGACAACGTCTATCCGGAGCTGTTCATACCAGGCGAGGCGGTGGCTTCCGGCGAGGTAAGGATTCACCCTCCTCCTTCCTCCTTTCTTCGTCTTTATTTTCTTTTCCAGAAGATCGAGGCGATCAGGATCAACGAATGGGGACGTTCGTTCCTTTAACCTCTTCGGTACGTGCCTCGACTATGGAATGACTCGTGTACGCCACTCGTGTATTCGTATTGTCGAATCAGTGTGGCCGAGCGTTTGGTATATGGCCGACATATTTATTTTACGTACGTCGATTATAACGTGTGATCGATGTACATTGCGGATTGGGTACTAGGTTTGGATTTGTAGTTTGTGGTGCTTATGTGGTCGAGGATTGATGGTTGGATATTGGCTATAGTCGGTGACATTTATTTGGAAATTCTCAAAAAGATTGATTATTATCGATGATAATAAATAAATCTGATAATTGGTTAGTGCGGTTTCTGGAATTCGATGTGTATTGTAAAGAAAAAGGATTATTTATGTACAGAGTTTGCTGTCCATGGTATCAAACAATCGATGAAACGATTACGGTTTACGTATTTATTTGGCATCGACTATAGTCAACAACCGCCATGTTTGTTTCTCTCTACATTCGAGTGTAGATTTTAGTCGACGTACGAATTAATATCGTCGAGCGTCACTTATAATCGACAGCTTATGATTGTCAATAATCGATGATTTCGAAGTATACCGTTCGCATACCGTATTGTTCTTGCTCGTTGGATAATATTCCATAACGAACGATGGCCATACCGAAGAGGTTAGGTACAGGAATTACCATTGTCATTTTGATATACACGAAGATGTCAAGATACTTGGAGGCTCCACTATTCTCGTGGAAAGAATAGTCAAAAGATGAATGGACAGGGAAAGAAAGCCCCGTTTTCATCCTTCCTCTAAGACCTTTCCACATTTTCTTTTCCAAGAGACACGATGTTCCACGATTTCTAGACGTACGAACATCCTTTCGGTTGGGAGAGACATATGTAAGTGTCGAGTGTTGCGAGATTGTTCTTTCAAAATCCTTTCAAATCTTTGTCCTTTGAAATTTTTCTTCTAAGAATTTATTTTTTTTTTTTTTTGGATATTTGAAATTATCATAGTAATCTAGGAACATTTTCGTGCGAAAGAGAGGTTATGTCTCTAAAGAGTTCAATTTTTCAATCTAATAACTAGCTCCTCCATCAAATTCATCAATTAAAAAACCAATATTTATTTTCATTAAATTAATGAAAATATCTTATCCTTGAAAAGATACACGTTTCCATTCCTTATCTTCATAACAAAAAACATACACGAAACTATTAACTTACTATTTTGTACGAAAATTTAAAAAAGCTAAAACAATATCTACGCTTTGATAGATGGAAAAAATCTTATTCTATCATTCCCCCCCCCCCCCACCTCCATTCTTTGATATATCAAAGACGCGACAAATTAACTTATATTTCGTCATTAATTTCGCGTGATAGGGGAAATATGGGGCGGCTGTGTCCACGCAGATAGGCAAAGTTGGATTGTCGGTGGCGAATGATTGATGTCGACGAGGTTGCGACATGGAAAACAATGCGCGCGATCGAGAAACAATGCGGGCCGTGGTCGGAGGCAATCTGAATCGGGTCGCGCGGCCGACATCCGATCGGAAATCGATTCGTCTCGATCGGCTTGTTGAATTCTTGGCTCTCGCAGCCGGGCGAAAATCGGCAGCCGCCGGATACGAAATCGAGCTCGTCGCTCCGGGCGAAGACGTTTCAACGGGGCTTAAAGGGGATTCCCCCGTGTTGCCAACCGATTTCCCATTTCCGATTTCGCAATTAAAATCTCCTTTGACGGCGTATAACTCGCGGCTGTTTTTCCTTCTCTCCCGCGTACAGCCGCGTTTATGCTCCCCTTTTAATTGATAAAATTGGGTGTTGCGGATATTACATTCCCCCGGGATTGCCTTTCCTTTTCTACCTTACGTTCCTTCGTTACGTAGACGATAACATGGATGGTAATCGGATCGATGAATATTCTCGTTTTATTAGGAAAATCTATTTTCCTAATCTTATCCATTTAATTAAGTTCAAATTTTTCAAGATGTTGTCAACAACTTTTAAAATTATAATACAAGATATATGTATACGTGTGAGTATGTAGATAATGAACACAACACAAGTGTCTATCGTTTAAAAAAATACTACAGTGTTTACTATTATCAATAGTATAACAAAATTAACAATTAATACATAAGTTACATATGTGTAGAGAGGATATTGAATAAGTAGTAATAACACGTATTTGATCGGACGTATCGAATTCTCTAGAAACGGTAGTATCAATTTCATTAATTTCCACTTCGGTTACACATTACACCACGAAACGAAACCAAAGAAGGAGGAGGAAGGAAGTTCGTAGGATGATACATAAATACATGAACAATGGAAAATCGATGGCTCGTCGTGGGAGAGATGGGAATCACGGAAATCACGATGTGCGCGATCCGTGATTTCTCTCGTCTCCCGATTGACAGTGCATTAATTTCGTCCCCTGTGCAGAGGGATGGAGGGGGCGGAGGAGGGAGAGGTTAGAGGCGATCAATCACGTCTCGATTTATTTCCGTCGTGTTGCGAGGCCCTCTGTTTCCCCGCATTCGTAATTGCGAAATGATTGTCGGGCTTGTCGCCGATAATCTCGTGGCACGCTTCTCCTACGGGTCATTACGTCTCTCTCGACTCGTGCCACCCCCTTGATCCACCGCGTTTCTCCTTCTATCGAGCAGATCTCGCGGATCTCGTGATTTCTCGTGGATTGGTGATCGTCGTGTTTCGTGGACAGATACCTTTGCTCTGAAAATGGTTGGTTCGATGAGTTTTGGAATAGGTTAGATGAGTGAGGATATAAATGGGAAAACGCGTGAATTTAAGAAAAATTTAGCAAATTTTTTATGTTCTTGCATTTTTCTACTGCTTTTAATGGCATTAGCTTATAGAGAAGATGGGGAAAGTTTGCACGTAGAGTTAGAAGGTGGGGAATTCGATTAATAACGATTATTATCGGATTAATCTGCATAAATTTTACAAACTCGCACGGTAGTTTGCGCTTGAGAGTACTGATAGCAAGGTAAAATAGAGTTAATATATGATTATCCATTTGCAACGATGGTAATGTAATTTAATAGTGGTAATACTCGTTTTGTTTAATCTCAGTTGCTACGGCTGCTGCATTTGTTCAGAAATCGAATTCGAAAGAAGATTAGTTTTCTTGAATTTTTAATTTCTGAATATCTAGATCGAGTAAAAATATTTTTAGATCTGGACCTTAGATCGCAAGAAGATGAAGAAATTATTCCTTTTCGAATTTTTGAAATTCGATCTCACATTTTTTTTCATATTTTCAAATTATATTCTCGAAGGAAATGCGAAACGAGAATTAATTATTCCAAAGATTTACAACAGAGTATACCCTTTGAATCATCAAACTAATCTAAACGACTGCGTCACGTGCAAATATTGATCGATGAAAAGTCACCTCTCATAATCCTATCGCGAAAATTCTATTCCTTCCCCGTGTATGCTCTTGAATTCGCTGGTGTGTCACATCTTACGGCGTATTAAACGACTTTCCACTATTTCCACGTAAATTGCATTGTCACGCAACTTGGATATTCCATGCTTCGCTTTGTTCCTTCAAGTTCTCGATTTTATCGTGAATGAAAAGGAAGCCGTCAGAAAATTTTCCGACTCGCAATTTCAAATAATTATTTTCGGCTTAAGTGAGTAAGTAGGAATTGGTTAGTCACACGACGTTTCAATTTTAGCTGACTGAATCGTGCGTCTAGACTCGCGAAACTTAAAAACTCATTTTGAAAGTGAACGCGGAAAATGAAACCGTTCTGAATAATGTTTTCCTGCAAGTTGAAGGCTGCTCAAAAGTTTCTCAAGTCCTCGTCGAGGCTCTGTGCCCTCGTTTTGTGATATCAAACTTCTCGGGATTCGTAAATGATTCATCTTTATATCTTAGCATCAAGAATACAATATTTCGACGCGTGAATATATTTTATAAAGTTAAAATTTCTCGATGTAACGAAAATTTTCCATTGTTTTCAATTTTTTTCAAAATTTTCAATTAGGAGGAATTTTTCATTTAAAGATATGTAAGAAAATCTGTAAATGATTTTATCGTATCGCTCCTCCACGATATCGTTTCACGATTATGATCGATCATGACGTTCCTCGGGAAAAGTTAGCTTAATCTTTCATAATTTGCACGGGCTTCCTTACGAAAACCGACAAGGCAGAAGTACATCGTTTCCCTTGTGTCACGTTATGATCGAGTGGAAATGAATTTTTAAACAGAATCTTTGAACCTCTTCTCCACGCCAAGATATTCCATTTTCCTTTTGTTTCGGTCAAGAATATATTCTTATAAAAAGATGAAAACTATATATCTTGAAGATATCGTATCAATGAAACGATGATTAAAAGTGTCTCGTTCGACTAAAAACCTTTCGATATCAAAAAAAAGAAAAAAAAAAAGAAAGAAATTAAACACACAGCGCCGTCTGCGACCCCTTTTATCGGGTCTCGCCGACTGGAATCGGAAAAGAATCAAGCGGCAGCCGAGATCGTGGCGTGGAAATCGCATCGATCAACCGGTTCCCACCCTCGCGAATATCCTTCCCCATTGCACTCGAGCCCCCTCCTATTCAAACCGGAACGGAATGCGTTTTGCCATATTTTTTCCCGTCACGACACCCTGGCTCGTTGGAGAAACTCTTGGGGAAAAGGGCGCGTTGGAAAAAAGGAGGAAACGCGTGAGAAAGGATGGGCGGACATTTTCGCGAAGAAGAAACGTTTTCACGTGGGCTGAGCTTCGGAATGCGATCCACGCCGTGCACAACAATTTCTGTGTCGAGACTCGTGCTCCCTGCGAGCTGAAATTCTGATTCGTCCAGTTTAAACGATTTCTTTTATCCATATTTTATTATTATTCTTTTTTGTTACCGCGATGTGTTCAAATCATCGGGGGTTGGATTGGGTCGCGGGTTGAAAAACGAGGAGATGAGTGGATTTATGGTTCCAGCGCGACTCTTGCATGCGAATAATTTTTTCGGGTGCGAGTGAAAAATCTGTGCTCGCGGGAAAAGTGTGATGGATGATTGGGGGAGGGAAGAGGTGATCCGGGTATTCGATGAAATAGCACGCGGAAAGGGAGTGAATGTTTCGTGATGTATGCTCGTGATGTATGGAGTGTTTCCAATAGATTTTTTCCCCCGTTAATGGATATTTTTAACGAAGAACGATTTCGATTAAGGATTTTCCCTTTCTAATTTACAAGAAAAATTAATAAAATTAGATTTATAAAAATTCATCGTATTTTATGTCATAGTATTCGTGGATACGTAACCTCTCGTTTCTCGCAACACTCGATCAAATAACGAATGTTACAAACAACATTGCAGAGAACGAAATTTTATTAGTCACGCGATAAGATCAAGACGATCATTCAAAGCTTGTCTACCGAATTATTTATCTTCCAATCAACTCTCGTTTCAATTCTCCATCCAACTCTCAGAACTGACTCCTCGACTAACCTTCGAAAATCGTCCCGCTCTATAAATCAACCATCCTCCTCCCCATCCCCCGTGGAAAAAATTAGTTCCACGAAGGTAGGAGCCTCCGAGCCTCTCTAATAAAGCCTCGGCACGAGGATGGAGACCCTGCAACTTGCGGAATTTCATCGAAGCCGGCCGAACGTCGACGATAAATCAGTAGTTTTTATTCCAGCCGCACGCCGCCACCGTCGACGGTGGTTGGAGGGGGATGAAGATGCCCGGCGTTGAAACTGCAACGACCACAGAATTCTTGCATGCAGCGAAATCAAGACTGCTGACCGTGCTTCCATGACCGAATGCGCCCGCTGCATGAAAACGCGTGTACACACATTGGTGCACGTGGCACCTTTCTATCGAGGCCACGTGTCCGTGTGAATTCCCCTCCTTACGATTACTCAAAATATTCTATCTCGCTATTTTCTTTCTTATTTTTTCGAAATCTACATGGAAATCTAAATTATTTTTCGCCCCGTGTTATTATAAGATATTCGAGAGATGATGAGGAATTTCAATTTTCATAAAATATTTTAATTAATGTAAGGAGAGCGATTGCACGCAGAGATCGTGAATTGCCGAGGAATCAAATTATTTGTTGTAATTCATAAGTCTTCCGTGCAACGTTTCGATTTTTTAATTTATATTTTTCGAGAGAAAAAAATTAATCAAAAATGTCAATTTTTTGTTTTTTCGCGTGAATTTTCGGTTATAGACCGAATTGAATTGGATAAAAATTGACATGGTGCGCCGCACCGTGGCGCGACAGTATACTAAAACGAAACTGTCTCGCTCCATCTCTAATTAAATATAACACTTTTGTACATTGATCTCTATGAACTCGATTTTTCAATGTTATTCCACGGATATATTATTAATCGATCATAAAAGTATACATTTTCGTTGTCAATCGTAAATTGCAACGCGCTTCGTAAGAATCTAAAAGTAGAAGACAATTAAGAGGATCGATCTTTGTTCTCTGTGTCTTTAATTTGTTGAATACTCGGCCAATGTACCATCTCTGTGTGCACGCACGTGCACATACGGGCGGACAAAACGATAGCTCGGCTCATTTTCGATTTGTCGCCGTCTATTTGAAAAATGGAAGAGCGCATCACTCTGTTGCAGTCCTCTAATCTTTTTGTTCCCGTGCAATGTGCAACTGTTCCACGCTTGGGTGTGCACCGGGCTCGAGGAAAAATCGACCGATCGTCGATACGTTTCGCCGGAGGGATCTCGATTGAACGGTTTCATCGGGAGAAACGGGGGAGGGTGGTTGGTTTCAGAGGGTGTTTGATAGAAAATCGTGATAGCTTTGGTGAAAATACTGGTGGAGATGCTGTACTATAAAAGTCTTAAACAGTTTCGTAATGGAGAAAGTAAATATACGTATATTTTGCAAAATTTAGGTTAGGTCAGATAGATGAACAATATTTAATCCATTTATCGTACAATCACGAAACCGTTCAACAATCGAGATACAAAGTGTAATCAGAAAAGAAAGAAGAAGTTGAACACGATGATATCAATAAGATAGAAAATTGAAATGTATCGAAAGAGGAGAATTTTTTCCAGAGCCATCGCAGCAAGATTTCGAGCGGGTTCATTCAATTGTTACGTCTTCCTCTTGATTTATGCGTTCTTTTTTTTTTTTTTTTCTATTTTCACAGGTGCGTGAAAAACTTGACCGCTGTAAATATCCCTGGAAACGCGCGAACATCGAGAGAAAAATAACGCCCACTCTTCCCTATTGGAGAAGAAATATTTTCCGATAGGAAATCGTCCGCTATGCGAAAAATATTTTCACCAGGACATGTTATTCTTATTGTTTTTTACGACGTGCAGATATCGAGGATTGATGCCTCGCAGTTATGTCTCTCTAACGAGCACATTTTTTTTTCCTCCCTTGATTCGTATCTTTTTCAATTTATTTCCCTTATCTCAAAATTTCATAAATATCGTCTTTTTTTTTTTATAAATTGAATTTTCTAAATACATGGCTAATTGTATGAACGAATCAATCGATAGCTCATACTTTATTTCTCAAATAAAGTTTAATTAACCAGAATTTTGTGACACGGAATAAAGAATTAATTAATATTGCAACATATTTTTAAAGATAAGATGAACGGAATAGATAAAACATTTCGATTAAATGGTATAATTTCTCTCGATGTTCGCCTCATTGTAAAAAAATATTTATAAACGTGCTGACCGATATTGATCCACGAAATGATCCACGTACTAACTAACTGAACAGGTTCGTAATCTTGGAGAAGGAGGTAACACCTGTCTGGATTCACCGGCACGCAAGGCAGACTTGCACAAGCCTGCCGGCCTCTACCCCTGCCATCGACAGGGTGGAAATCAGGTACAAATAGACTCGTGGATGCTGAATCCTACACCAGATGTGTGTTTTAAGCCCCGTCGATCACTCGTTTCACTGTCAGCTTGTTTTCGCGCCTCGATTTCACGTTTGAAGCGAAAACTCGACTTTCATCCCCTCCTTCCCCCCTCTTTTTTATTTTTGCATTCGTATTACGATCTCTCTCGCCTTGACACATTGCTGTTCGATTTTCCAAGCGTGTTATTCCAAGCAGAAATTTTGATCAACTCGTTTGCAAGATCGATGATCGAGATTTATTTTAGAATAGATTTGAATGAAAAATTTAAACGTTAACCATAAAACCAAAACGTGATTCGAAAAGAACAACAAAAGAAAATTCAAAATTTTAGACAATATTTTCGAATGCTTTCCTCTTCAAAAGTCGACTTTTCGTTTCTTCGAAGGAAATATTTATAACACTTAATTCGTATTCGCACGTTTAGTTTACACATATTTTAGGTTTTCACGCATGTTTACCTGTTTGGCTTCGTATTTATTCACCTTTTCAGAGATAGAGAGAGACAAAGAGAGAGAAAGGATCAGGAGATAAGAAATGTAAAGGTGTCGCACGTAACCTCTTTGCGTAAGATCGATCAAAAAAATAGAAACGAAAGAAAAGAATGAAATTTCTCTTCGATATGATATCTCGTGGGCGAGAAATCGGTAGTAATCGTTTGAAAATTTGTTGATTCGCTGCAGATCAGACATTTGGTTAGCAGCATGTGTATAGACTCGCCAGGGAAACCTGAAGATCTGCACCAGCCAGTGGGTTTATATCCCTGTCACCGCCAGGGAGGCAATCAGGTACACGAATTCAGAGTTCAGATCCTCATTCGAATAAGAACGTGATATGTCCATAATCACGGAGCACGCGGTGGTATATGCCTGCTATATATTTATGTATATTCTTTGTTTTCCTTTAACGTAATTTTCCGTTGATACGATGCGAATTTTAACGTTCTTTCGATCCTTGATGGTGATGGGATATCTACTTGCTCGAAGCTAGCAGGACGAAGAGAATTTATATATCGTGTCACGCTGCGTCAAAATGTCCCAATTTTTCTGAGGAATACATTCGAGAAATGAAAGTTACATTATTTTTTAAACCAAATTTCGCATTAAAGTAAATCTCGAAAATATCACATAATGTCGAAGAACGAAAACGAAAATAATTTGAAAGGAACAATTTATAAAATTTAACAATCTCTATTATTTTTTTTTTTTTTTAGAAAATGAAATATCTCTGCACTCCGTCATGTTTATATCTTTTACAAAAATTGATCAAACGACTGGAATGGAATAATACGAATCTAAATCACATCTCTAATGTATTCCACGTGGATGTCCGCGCAAATGGCGAAACTCGCTCGTTAAACTCGTCCCGGCTATTTACGAATTTTCTTGGCTCGGAGTCGGGTCGAAACGGGCGATCGTTTACGATAATCGTTCTGCCAGGAGCCGAGTATTCGCCGGGACGAGGCGAAAGAAAAAGGGACCGTTAAACCGACGACGCGTTTACCATTTAACTCGCACGCTAAGCTCGACCCATTTCGGTGCAATTAGTAACCCCGCTAATCTGGTGCAGGTGCTCATCAATCGTCCGCCTTCCTCTCTCTTTATCCGCCTCTCTTCCCCCACTCTTCTCCCCAGCGCACACACGCGAACCAAGCTTCTAGCTTTCCAACTCTCCTGGCATGGCTATCCGCCGGCTTGTCATTTTTACCTTCACGTGCCATCGTGTCGAATTAATCTTCTCGTTGCGGGACGCGTGCTGGAAATTATCGCCGTGGGTGTGACTTGGTCGAGTCGGAAATAATGCACGTACGTCTGGTTATGATGTGCCTTTCAACGGCTATTGATAAGAAGTGTTGGAAGTCGATGATGAATCGATTCCTTGTTTTGTTGTTTCCTACGTCTTGGCGGTGTTCTCGTGTTCATCTTTTCGTGTAATGGATATTTTTCTTATTTTAGACGAAAGAATGGGAAGGGAAGTGTCAGTTTATTGAAGTAAGAAAAATAGAAGGAATAGGTTATGTGAAAATTGTGATACGAAATATACAATTCGTCGAAATTAATTGTATATTTTGAATAATATTATGAATAAGTTTTAGGTTAGGATTATTCGATCGAATTTATTCAATCGATTACCTACGAACATAACCTCAAATTGATTATTAAAATATGTATTTCACGATTATCCGTCAAGTCCATAATCAAAATCCATTTCTCCAGTCCAGTTTTCAGTCACGTTTTACACGAGACTGAGAAAACTGTCGAACAAGATTAAAAAATTTGCATTTCTAGACCGGAAGAAGAAAGCAACCGTGGAGATATAAGGGAGACAAAGGGAACTCGTTATCAGAAACGGATATAGGAAGATGGTCTCCTAAATTCTTCGTCGTTAAAAATCACGCAAACGGCGACTAATTGTAAGAAGAAGGGTACGGGTTCAACTCATGAATACCGGATGTCGTTTCGCTTGATGTTTTCCGGCGAGTTTAGAACGGTTTAACAACCGTGACGACCGGTTACAACCAAAAACACAATCAGTCGCCGCTCGCCTGGCCCTTGTAAAGCGTCGCTTTAATTTAGCTATTTGCCCTAGCAATTAAACCGTGGTTTCACGGCAATTACGCCGCTCAACCGACTCTCCTCTGATACAGTTATGGATCAGTGTGCGTTTTCACTTGGTAGCCATATCGATGATTTTGAATGAATGACGGTTCGAAATATCGAGTGGATATTTTGACGATGTATCCGAAAGTTTTTTTGCCGGATTTTTGAATTATAAAAATATATATAGTAAACAGCTAAAACAACTAATATAAATATGTATACAAATTTTCATGCGTTAATTAAATCTATTAAAACATTCTTCAATATTCAATTTTCAATTTCAATGTGATATTCTAAAATTTTATCAAGAGAAGAATATAATATAACGATATTTTTTTTTTTTAAATCGTGAGTTGAATTAACGTCGTTTCCATCCTTAATCTTGGTTTTTTTTAAATGTAATTGCATTCCAGTACGTATATCGATGGCGCGGATATAGATGCTTGGTTGTTAACATGCGGTGCATGGCGTTAATCCTCACTTTTCATTATTCCAAAATCTACCGCTTTCGAGTCTATCGTTGCACGACAGGGGCTGAAAACCTTTGAATTTTCAACGCAGATGGTTCTGACAGCGTGGTTACAACCGTGTAACGATTTGAATAAGTAGAAGCCACTGTTCGCTCCTGGCCACTCCTGGAATTTAATGAGCCCTTAGCTACATATGCTTCTCATGCCTGTACAAATTGAAATTTTCTACTACGTTCGAGATAATCAACTATGATATTTTCGCACATAAGAATTGTTCTTCTGGTTTTGGATCTATTATAAGTAATGTGATAAATTTCTTCCATCTTTTTATTATGCAAACTTTTATTTTTATTTTTGTAAGAAAAATTTTATTTAGAAAAAAAAGAGATTGATGCAATCTATGACATAGCTATTAGAAGTTTGCTTACACGATGAATATTTAATTTTAAGAGTCTTAGAGTTACCATAAAACGAAGACTCTTAAAGGTTGAAAGTATTAACTAAGCTATTACATGTGCAAATTTGAGTTTGCCAGATTGTTAGGGCAATTAAAAAGATGAAATCTTCAATCTTCTTCATTTGCATTAAAAAGTTTAAGAGATTTCCGTGCACGTTGCGAGAAAGTTGAGAGAGTTGTGAAGAAAAAAAAAATTTTTTTGATCGTTTCAACAAAGAAATTTCTTTTTCAATTAAGAAAATTGGCCTGTATTAATTATAAACTTTTCTCGTATTAATTTTACAACTTTATAGAATTAGTAAGTGACTATGGTCAATTATATGTCAGGCAAGATTTCAAATACCACTTGATAACAAATTTAATTTTAATAATTTTTCTTTCTTCTTTTCTATCGAACATTTGGATAAAGATTTCATACTTTATTTGAATCATTAAACTCGAATAAAAAATTTATGAGAATAATCGATTTCATCTCTTAAAACGAAACAAAATTTCTACGATTAAAGGCAATAGAGTAGTCAAAAATAGTTCATTACATTTAAATTCTATGTTAAAAGCATAGAATTAATAATTCTTATACCCCGTTAATTTTTGATAAATTCTTAAATTGCATAGGAAAATCCCAACAAATTACCCAAGAAATTTATCCATTCTGTTTGTCGCTCGAACGTTTACGCTTCCGGTGTTCTTTCGGAACGAACGGATGCCTCCATATGCGCGTACACTGTCTGTCAGAACCATCGGTCATAGGCAAACGTTAGAGGTCAAAATCCAGAGGCATTAATCTTGATCGTTTGTCACAGTACTGGATGTTGAGCAAGACCGGTGAGATCCGTCGAGACGAGTCGTGCTTGGATTACAGCGGCACCGATGTCATCCTCTATCCTTGTCACGGTAGCAAGGGGAATCAACAATGGATTTATAATCCTCAGGTACGTTATCCTTGCGTTTGTAACAAGTATGGGATTAATTAATATCAAATCCTATTGCGAATTTCCTTGCTTGGAAATTATTTTTTTTTTTTCATTTTAACTCTGGATTTATTTACATTAAACTTGGATTTTCATGATTTTATTGATTTAAGAAAAATAAGATTATTTCAAAAAATATAAGGAAATTTTTAATATCAAATTTTCCATTCTATTTGTATCCATCAAAAGTTTATATACACTTGATAACAAGTAGAATATGCAATAATATATTTTTTTTTTTCATATAAATTATTATGAAATCATTATCTTTTATCTTTTTTTAGGATAATTTTGCACTGAAATCTTCTGTAAATTTTTATTTTCATAAAAAAGTAACATTTTATAGAATCTGTGAATAACTTTTATAAGCTATTGTACTTATTCCTCTATTTAATTTCTGTTTTCTCATATTGAAAATGGTTGTAATATTCATAATGTTAAAATAATGTTAAAATATCAAGAAAAGCAAGATTTTTTCCTACTTCTCATTCATTTCTAACAAATATCTTCAATACTTCAATACCTTTCTTTTCTTCTTACGTTAACCAATATTAACCAACGTGATTTCTCTTTTAGTCGAAACAGATCAGGCACGGAAGTAGCGACAAGTGTCTGGCAATAACGGAGAGCAAGCAACGGTTGATCATGGAGGAGTGTTCACCCTCGGCAGCGAGACAAAGGTGGTCGTTCGAAAACTACGATCCATCGAAGCTGTGATATCGCGCTTTTTCGCGTCACCAGTCGAAAAACATCGCACGAAGATACGATCGTACCGGTTCTTGGGTATCCGTTCAACGTTACTCCATCGCCAAGACGCGTTTCGGCAGATAGATGGCGTGGTATCGAGGCATGGAAGCCTCGAAACGCCATCTGTCGGACGCTCAAGATCGACTGGAAGACGAGAGAAAGAACACCGAACAAGGAAGAGAGAGACGTTCGAATGGCCGATATTTGGCTGTAATCTGGAACTGTTGGATGGACGTAGTGCAATAGAAACGTCGTTTCAAGGGTGATCGAGAAGGGATACCCTTTGATAAGCTGTGACCAGTGTACAATGACATTTGAGAGAGTGATCGAGGAAGACGCTTTCGCTGGCATTGAAGAATTGAGGGTTTTACGAGAAGCAAAGGACTTGTTTGGACTTTTTAATCTTTATTTTTGCTTTTGGGTAGTGTTTCAATGGGACTCGTATCTTTTTTCTTTCTCTTTTTTCTCAATTTCGGTTGGGACACGTGTTGATGATTGCTGTTCTATGGTGTCGCTTGTAATTATTTAAATGGTCTCACTTTTCTTGGTTATTCGAGTGATTTAATGAGGATGTTGTGTTTTAAATGTGAGACGAATTGGTTAATATACAGTGTTGAGGATTTTCAATTTGAATTGTAGATGTAGATTTTTCCATTTAAATGATGGAAAGAGAGTCGTGCAAGGGAAATAAAAATTAATATTTAATTAAAAGAAAAATGATAGAATTTTTTTTTATATTTATTAAGAAGATATATAGATTGTTTTATTAGAATCTAACTTTATAATTAAAAAAAATCAACGAATAATTTTAAATTAACTTTCCCTAACAATTTTATTAATAATATTTCTTAAATATGTTGAACATCATATTCTGTATCTAATAGATTAATCATAGATTACAGAATAATTATAAGATAAATAAATTTACATATTAAACAAATAATTTTCAACTAGAAAGATTAAAGATTTCTGACAAATATTTTATAATATATAATTACTAAAAGACTCATCAACATTCCAAAACTAAGATTACTATAACTATAAGATTAAACTATTGAAATAATTACAAGCGATATTCTTCTAATAATAGTTGATAGAATCGTTAAATAATTGGATTAATTAAGTGTAATAATTACGTATACCATAATCGCGCAAGTACTTACGAATCGAAACGAATGTTCGATATAGCTGTAATTTTAAGTGTAATTATTAAGTGGCAACATCAATGCGTCAATGACAGCGAAAAGCGTGTCAATAGAGGGGGATGGGTCTGTTCGTTTTATTAAACGGACGAACGCGGCCGAATCGATCTCCACGAGAGCCTCGATCGTCGCTTTCATCCGTAAATCCGTTGTTTTAAGGTGGATCGAGCGATTTCTATAAGCTGCTTACGGCGTGTGCCATCTCAGAAACGACGGTATTTCAGTTTCAATGAGAAATGACGAATCGTTGATTGCGAATAACGAAACGAGAGCTTATCACTCTTACAAATCGAGTGTTCAAACTGGTAGTTTGAACGGAATTATTTATTTTAATAAAACATTGATCCTTTGCTTGGATATTTTTTATATCGAAAGGAAACAATTATATTTGTATAAAATCTATATGTAATAAATCATGTAAATTTTTCTTGTATTATTTTTAATTCAAAATTATTTTACAATCAAGTTTTATGCTTCTGAATACTTTGTTTGTTTGTTTTTTTTTTTGTACCTTCATTCAATTTTTTGTTTTAATATCTTTACTTTAGAAATGAATAAAATAGTCGTTTGCATAATTTAAAATAATTGGAATTGTAATTTATATTATTTGCAAAATTATTTTTAAAACTTTATTGTTATTTGTTGAAACACGAATCTTCTATGATTTAAAATTATTATAAATTGATTCCATTATACAAAGATGAATTTGAAATGTTATAATAAGAAACTATTAGATTTGGATTATATCAAGCTTATCATTTGATTTATCATTTGAAATATATCGATACATTTGTTTATCTAATATTTGTTTATCTAAAAGAATAAACATATAAAAATTCTTCATATTTTCAACTAGTGTAAAAAAAAAAAAAGAAACTATATTCTATCGCAAATAAATAAGAACAGTAATAGATTTGATTTATTGAATAAATTAAATTCATCGATCAACGATTCGTCGATACATCTTCGTTTCTTTGTCGTATCCTCAGCGATTACGATAGCACCTTACATTCCAGTATGGACGCAAAAAAAAAAAAAAAAAATTATTCGCCAACGATTCCAAATTTTGGCGAAATCATTTTTTCTAAATAATTTAGCACGTAGGTAGTGTGTAGAAAGAGAATAAAAAAAAAGAAAAAAAGAAAACGAAGGAGTAATGGTACACATTCCGATTACGGTGTAGGAAGATTTTTGTACATTCGTGTAAAGTATCTTGATGCCAGTTTAGACCGCCTAAAGTAAGTTTGCCGAATGCATGTGCGAGAGTAAATCAGTTGCAGAATGTGAGAATCCTTTTGAATCACGAGTAAAAGAATTTTTATAACCCTTTGCTGTCCGAGGATTTTCAGATTGAGATATTTCGAGAGGAGAATTTGATCAAAAATCTGTGAAAATTAATTAAATCGATTTATTAAGAAAAAGTTTATCAAAAATATTAAAAATATAAATCAATATATCGTTTTTTATAAAACATAATGGATAACAATTCATTCTAATCAATTCTAACGAAATACTGTTGTAAAAATAGTTCTTAAGTAAGTAAAAAAAGACATCAAAGGGTTAAAAATCAAGATTCTATTTAAAAAAAAAACGCAATCTGCAGGTGTCTGTGCGTGCCAACGAAATCGTGAATACCGCGAGAGAAATATTGTACAATATTCCGATTTATCTCGATCGTGATCAATTCCGACTCATTCGTACTGACCTTCACGTCATTCCAACATATTCTCAAATTGTCATTCGAAAAAAAGAAAAAAAAAAGAAAAAAAAAGAGTTTCATATTTTCTTCAAAAATTCATCGAGACGATAGAGAAAGAGATCATCGATTCAATTTCATATTCGGAGTTCGATCATATTCACGAATAATTAACTATTATACTTAAGATCGTAAAACCAGAGTGTGCATTTAATGACGTGAATGTTGCGAATCGTATGAAATAATCGATCGGAGAAATTGCAACAACGAGCGTTTTATCGAAATAACGCGATCGAAGATAGCGATTTTCGTTCCGAACGTTTTAAATTTCGCGCCTTTTATACGGGTTAGGAAGATCGGTTATAAAACGACACCCGTTGAAATATTTCCTGCAAATGGAGATGAAAGGAGAAGGAGATGGGAAAATCGTTAGCGACAAAAATATGTCGTTACTTCGTCGTGGATAATTACGAAAGAAGGGAATACGTATAAATATAAATATAAATATGATTATAAATATAGATTTAAGATGATGTAAAAGTTTATCTTGAACAATGCCGATGAAAGGACGAATGGAAATTCAACGAGAACGTTTATACAGATATAGATATACATATATATATATTATAAATATATTATATATATGACATTTTCTACATTTGGTAAGGATGTTGCATATCGTATGAACGAGAAGACGCAATGACGATAAAAAAAAAAAGAAGAAAAATAATATAAAAAAGATGTAACATTGGACAGCCGAGCGACGTTATGGGTCGCACGTTAATTAATGTAATATCGAACGTGCCTTATTTCCTGTATATATACATATATGAATATTATTATCATTATTATTATTATTATTATTATTATTATTATTATTATTATCATCATTATTACCGAACCTCTATCGTGACGTATTTGTGTTGAATAAATCGATGTTGTTTTACGTTACTATCGTGGGGATCGATCATTATTTTCGACTGTTCATCCGTTTTCTCCTGTTTAATAGAAAAATGGTGGGACACGAAAATATTTTGATTTATCGAGAGGAAGAGAAAAAAAATAAATAAATAATTGTTTGAAAATAAAAATTAACGTGGATGAAAAATTAATAAGCTATGTGTTTGTTGCCCGTTCTTCTTACCAAGAATAATTCCGAGGCGGAATTTATCGAATTAAAAAATAACGAAAGATTTCTCACTTTGTCGATCCGTTCGTTATAGAAATTAAGATACGCGGAAAGAAAAATTTTGAATCTGCTTATTGATCTTACTTAGATAAGAGAAAAGATATAACGAAAACGAAATTATATATTTTCATTGAAAAATTTCCATTGCGTTGATATTTTTTCTGTTTAAAGATGCAATAAATTAAATAAATCAAAATCTCAATATATTATTCCACAAAAATTCTCTTTATTCTTATGGTCTCATATACTCGTATAGCAATGACTATACACAAGATAACGTATTAGATCATTTTCATTTTCACTCTCGAAGTGAAAATTCTTCTCATTTCCGCGCTTCGATTTCATTTCGTCTTGAAAGCAATGCCTGAAGCCTCTGTTTTCCTTTGTTCCCAGTTCGATTCATTGTTATGAATTGACTCTATGAATTCCTTTGACGCGGATCCAGCCACGTAATTGCACATGATATTGAATATCGAGGAGTTCACGATGAAACTCGGTCATGACACAGTTCCGAATTAACCTTGAACTATTTTAGTCCGACCATAAATTTCCGTTTCCACTTGGCCTGTCTATTAATTATTAACAAATCGCTAAACATTTCGTATTAATACGTAATCAATCACGACTCTATGCAAATGTATTATTCTAATATAAAATGCGCAAGGCATGTGCACGTTGAAGATCAACGATCAGAGTTCAATAAATAAAGGTGGACGTTGATTGATGAGAAAAGAAGTGAAAATATTTGGAATATCTCTGTCTATTTTTTCTTTTTTTTTTTTTCCTAGTCAATTTTACAATTACGAAGAATTGCGTATGTCTATCGAGCCATTCACCAATTATCGAGGGCTGCCACGGAAACCAAAACGAAATCGTTCGTTATTTTCGCGCAGGCGTCCTCGACGACTCTTCTCGGGAGGATACTGACAAAGAGGGTTGTTCATTTGTTCTTGAAATTTTCAAAAATTCGATCCCGTGAATTTTTCTGACAAATCATTTATATTCGTAACATTCAATTATATATTAAACTCTTTGGCAAGAAATATTTACTTAATTAATTTTCAAATCATCTTGTAAAATATGAAAAAAAAAAAAATACAAAATAAAAATTCGTTTTGCGAAGAAACAATTTCTTTGGAAACATGAAATCTGAAATGAATCGAGTTTCGCTTTAGACATTTTTCGTTTAGAAAACTATTTGGATAATTTTTCTTAAAAGGTTGCTCTTGATGGACAGAAGGGTAATTGAATTATTCACATTATCGATAACAACGTTGGAGAAGCTTTCAAAGAGAAGCTCTTTTTTAAAAAAAGCTGGAAAACTCCAATGTTTTTTTCTCCATCTTTCTTGCCGGGATATCTACTTGTTGCGGAGTCGGCTGGTATTGATTAGTGGAGAAGGAAAGGAGGGAGATCAGAGGGAGACGAACGCTCTCCTCCACAGACATGAATGGTTGCGGTCCACAGAGCCAGATTTTGAGCTTGACCCGGATTCGTCACGCTGGAGTTCACGTTACCTTCACTTTCGTTGCTCGCGTTGTAAACTGGCGTGAAAAATCGAGAGTGAACAGTGGCCAAAATCGGCTCCGCATCCTCGCTAAACATCGACCAAACCTTAACACGAGCCAACCGAATTCAAATTCCAACAAAAATAACCACGCAACAACAAAGTCAGAAAAATTTAAAAAACGAAATTCTAAAAATAATTCCCCTCTTCTACAAACAATTTTCCTTTTTCAAAAACTTAAAAAAAAAAAAGAAGAAGAAACAAACAAACCTTAAAAATCTCTAAAAACTACAAAACAAAGATTGAAAACCTCTGAATGCCTAGAAAACAATTTCCCTTCCTCGAACGAGGAATAGAATCCATAAGCCTTCAATATCCAATCTCTATCCCGTGGATATGCAATTAACCCGTCTCATTAGATCGGTGATGCAATCAGACATGCGACCAACTTATTCATGACGTTTGAAAAATTTCGAGAGGAAAAGAGAAAATAAAGGAAAAAAAAAGGAAAGAAAGAGAAAAAAAGAAGGAAGAAAAGGGAGAGGTCCTTGGGAGGACGCGCACGGGTCGCACAGGCGCAGCAACGTCCGAGTCTCCATCCCTCTCGGCGAGGGTTGCGCGAGTGCGCAATAAAGGGTTGGCCTGGCCCGAGGGAACGTCGTAGGCTCGTCGCAGTCGAGTGGCTTTTGCCGAGTGCGAGTGTTTATCCGCCGTTTGTCCGCGCCAGTTCCATTCACGAAACCGACCCCGTTCGACCCATCCCCCTCGTGTGTGCGTGTGCGCGCGCGCGCGCCTGTGTGTGTGTACGTGTACGGATGCTCGTTCCGTTGGACCCGAAGGAAGTTGGAGGCGTGCACTTTTGCAACGAGGAGGGACGGAGGGGAAGAGTCGAGTGGCCGAGCGGATACAGGCGTGTCACTTCCGTACAGTTGCTCCGTTTCTCGAGTGTTGCACGGAGGGGTGGCGATGCTGGAGTAGTTCATTTTCGTTTGTTGCGACCACTCATAGATATATAATATATATATATATATATTTTTTTTAACCTACGTTGAATCGAAGTATCTTCTCTTTTCGCGAGAGAGAAAGAGAGAAAGAGAGAGAGAGGATAGAAATGCTGTAGGGCGAGAGAAGGAAGATCGAAATTCGAGCGTGTATGGTGGATTATGCGTGATCGTGGGAAGGAGGAAGTGAGGTAAAAGTGTTTTTTCGAGGCAAAAGCGGGCCGGCGAGCGAGGGGGCTCCGGGATTCGAGCAACAGGTAATTTAAAAGCTGGCTCCAGAGCGGGGCACCAGGTCGGGGGTGAGATGGTTGGTTATTCGGCTGGGCCGAGATGATGCAATTTACGCGCCCCTTAATGAAGACGGGGGTTGTTTCTTGGAAAATTCGATTCTTCCTTTGTATGGGATATCCTTGATCGGAGACAGTGGAAGGGAAAATCCGATTTTCCTTTTCTCTCGCGGCATTTTCTGTGGCTGGGAGAGAGAGGACAAATTTTATTTGTCCTGTGTCGTTTCTCTGCGTGTTTTATGCTGTAATCGTGTGTAAGAAGTATGATACGACACGAGAAATTATATTAAATAATAATAGAACTTTTATTTACGTATTCTTATTAATTTAGTAAACTTTTGAATTCTTGTTTCACGATATGTATATATATTTGTCTTTCCATTATTTTCAGTCAGTCGTTACATTTAACCTGAAAATCATTCCTAATCATCCCTATCAAGATTCCAATCAAATTCATCGAATCTAAACTGTCTATCTCAATTATCAATACTTAATTTAAAAATCAGAATTAAAGAATTATTTTGCTGAAATCTTCGTCCACATCTCCATCTATCGACATGTCAATCGAATTTCGCGTGTCTGAATATCTACGTCGCGTAAATAATTTTCACTGCTTAAAGGTCGGATGAAAGTATAATATGGACGGCGTGGGATGTGGATTAAACGGGTCTGTTGATGCAAGTAGGTTAACTACATCGTAGATAACAGGTCTCGTTACACGGAAGGGTAGTTAAGTCTTTCGTCAGGGGGTGATTTATCGACGAACTTGCAGATTTCCCGGATCGGATAAAGGAAAGTGGATTTCGTCCGTTAAAGCGTGTTTGTCGCCTTTTTCTTCGGCAACTTAACGCTGTATCGGTTTGCATTTAAACCCATTCATGCGAGAATTCGTCGATTAACCTTAGCTTGAACGACTACTCCTCGTATTTGCGTATTTCTTACGAGTTGTCGATAAAACATTTATACACCTTAGATTTATCGTTTATTTATAAATAAGAGAAAGAATTGCGATTGAATGATTCATATGCTTGTTGTGTTAATTATAAATTCTTCTCTTTTTTTTAGTTTTTTTTACAATATTTCTTTGGAGAGAAATTTATTTACTTTCTTGAAAATTTGAGAAGGTGATATGTTGTTAGGAAAGTAATAATTATTAAATATAGGATAAAGTTTTTCTGAAATTGCAATAATAAAATTAGTAAGAATCTTTCATGATTCCTTCAAAAATGAAATAAATTTTGGATAATGTTTAACGAGAATAATATTAATAAAATAAAAATCGACTGATATGAAAGGCATTTGATCTAATTATTTGCACGCAATATTCGTTCATATGTATATGTGAATTTTAATAATATTGAAATACCGGGATAAATACCTGAATTTTTTAGATCATTAAATGAGAATTCAACGAAATTTCACTGAATTAAATTTCAGTGAATAATTTCTGCTAAATTTCTGGTTCGAAAACATTCGATTATTAATTATATGGTTAAATATTGTTTAATTATGCGATGAGATGTTAATTAAGTAAAAAATAATTCAAATAATTTTTTAATTATAGATTTTACTTATAATATTTTATTCAAAAAAAAAAATAAAAAGTGTTATAAATAATAAAATATAATAAAAGGTACGCGGAACTAAAATTTATCAAGCGTTGGATAAAGCCTTGTTTATCGACTTCAAAGTTTAAAATATGCTTCAAACTTTCAGATAGCCTTCCAAATATATCCTACCCAACATTTAAAACTCATCTATTTTTCTGAGCTAATAAATTTTAATACACGCTATAAATCTAAATTATATTACTCTAAGATATTTCATTTTATAAAATATCATTTTATACGTATATATCTCAAAAAAATCAAATCCCATTCCAAAAATTTATTTTTTCTATCTTTTATTTGAATTTCTTTTCTCTTTCTATAGTTTTTTCTCTTTTTATGACAAATAAATTTTAAGAGGGAAATTGAATCGAAATTATGATTTTCGAATTGAATTCGGGCTACATGAAGTTTTTTCCAGGAAAATACGAGCTCGATGCCGGAGGCTTCAGGGTCAGAGGTGGCCGACGAGTCGGATTATTCGATTTTCGAGAATAAGGCCGGCTTGGCCGAGGATATGAAGTTTCTGGCAAGTATGCCAGAACTATGCGACGTGACCTTCCTCGTCGGTGATACCAAAGAACCTATTTGCGCTGTGAAGGCTGTTCTAGCGGCCAGAAGTAGGTTCGTATTGTCTATTCTTTCAAATAATAATAATTTATCCGGTTTATTCATTTTCAAATTACTCAAATTTGAAAATTCCCAGAGTTTCGAGAATTCTAAAATTTGTAAAGATTCTAAAAATCTTTGAAATGTCTACGATTCTTCAAAAATTTTAAAAATTCTAAGATTTTTCAAGGATTTCAAGGAAAATTCTTAATAGAATTTCCTAAAGATTCTAAAAATTTTTAAATTTAATGACGAAATTCACACAATTCACTCTGTTTTTTTCCAGAGTTTTCCAGAAAATGTTTTACCAAGCGCCAAGTCCACAGCGTAAAAAAGAGCCGGCACCGAAAGAGAATAAAATCCGCCTGTTTCTAAAGAGAAGCTCGGAACCGTTGTTGAATCTGCAGAATGCAGCGCAACAGGTAATCGCAATTATTGCGGAAAGATCAGTTTATTTATACTTTTGCTATTCTTTAATAAACAATGCGAGCTATTCGAAGGCAGAAATGTCAAAGCAAATTGAAATTCGAATCGAACAGACAACAGTGTGGGCAGTGAACTTTGAAATATTATACGTAGAATAGGATACACCTACGTGTGTTCATATCTTGAAATTGATCAAAAATTAAATATTTGATCGTTTGATTTTTGAAAATTTTAATCTGGATCGATTATTTTTAAAAAGACATTGCATTTATAAATTCTTCCATTGATGTTAGTTGTATTATAGGAAATATTTGCTTTATATTTAAAATATTGACACGAGACACGAAAAAAATGGAATATAATTTTTTAATGCGAGTATTTTTGAGAAAATTGATTTTAAATATTTTAATGCTACATCTATATTTAACTATATCTTTAACGGGTGTCATAATAGAATGAATATTACTACTTATGTTACTTCTGTTATATTATGTTACTATTTATATCCATTATAATTGAATAATGGAAAAAACGTAGATACGAAACGAGATATTATTGAAAATTTCATTTTATTGAACACGCAATTTTATTCTTGGTAATAAATTTCTACGTAATTAAATTTCTTTTATTATAATGTAATGTATCGTCGTGCATTAATATCTTGTTTCATTAATATTCCCTATTATTCTCCATTATTCAATGCAATTATACAAGTAAATAGAGATATCTGTATAATTTTATAACCATAGTTTAATATCGAAATATAAGTAAATCGTACATATGCATTGAAATAATTATGTGCGATTAAGTAATTTTGAAATTGCAATTTTTTTGGGTACTAAAATTACTTATAGGACATTTTGCATATGAATTTCTGCATTTCACACAAAAATATTGAAAAATATTTATACATACCGTGTTCAAAAACAGTCGTTAAAATGATAGAAATAGTAAGTGTGCGTTTGTTGTGTGCCGTGTAGCGGTCAGGGTTCGCGCAGCAGTTGGCTCCCATACAAGAGGTATTATTATAACGCCTTCTCTATATGATTTTGCATCCTGATTCTCCTTTTTCTTTTTTTTTCTTTATTTTACTTGTCGATTTCTTTCCTTGGCCTTTCTCTTTCACTCTAATGCTCGCCAAACTATTCTCTCTTTCTTTCTCAGTTCTCTCTTTTTTTTTAATAATCTCTAATAAAAATAAGGAGAAGGATCCTGGATAACGACGATCCTAAATAATTTAAAGAATTGGTCAGATGGATTGGCCTGTTTCTTTTTTCACTATTTCTCGATGTATGATTTATATAATAGTAGAATTTTTAGAGCGAGATCTCGCGATGAAGGAGTTATCCTGTATCGATTGCATGGAATATTTACGCATTGATATTGTGAAGTCAATGTAATTAATCGTGAAATTAATAAAATCGATATAATTATTTCAAAAAATTATTCAGAATTTAATTAATATTTATATGATTTAGATATCAAATTATCACAATATTAATGCTATGTTATTTACTAAAAAATATAGAAATTATATTTTAGTATATTTAAAGAGATAGACTATGGATTTATTGTCTCGGGATATCAGATTATCTCTTATATTATCGCTTTAAGAAAGGATTATAATTTCAAAGGATATTAATATATTCGTGGAATAATCGGATTTTAACGATCAAAACAAATAGAAAAGTTTCTATTCAAAAATTTGGCTTATTTATTAAAGTACAAGTTAGATGAAGCGAGATGAAGATAGAACGACACAAAGCGCCATGCCGTGGCGTGGTTTGAAACTAAAAATATAGTTATCTCACTCTAACTATATCTTGTTTCGTCTAACAAGCTTCGTGCAAGCAATTGCTCATAACATTAATAAATAAGCCTCAACTGATATTTCTATATTAATAATTAACTTTTATGTTTTAGAATTGATTCTTCATCATGATAATTAAAAATATAAATTATCTCATATGAATTATCATTGAATCGAAACAAAATATTGCAATATTAAAGCAAATTAACAACAATCAAATTATATTTATCAATCTAGTATCCTCATGTACGATTAATTATTTAGAAATTACGATACATCCAACACAATTGAATCCGTATATATATATATATATATATATATATATATATGAAGACTATT